TAAAAACTAAAAAACCTATCCAACAAAACTATTCTGATTGTAAATTGCTATCTTTATTAGTTATAAGAAACTACAATAAACTTATAGTAGGAAATCTTAAAACAAACTTTTTACCTAACAAGTTTGAAGAACTTATTATAATATTTCACATTTTATTACTTACAAAAACTAAACATGATTCTTTCTATCAAATATCGCAATTTTTAATTGAAAGTAAGGTTATTCCATATAAAAAGATTTATTACTTATATATATTAAACAAGACCTACAAAGTAGGATTCTTTCTAATTTCATGTTTAATGAAGACATTAAAAGCTTAGAAGACATTAAGGCAATCAAAATGGTTGTTATTAGTACTTTATATTAATATTATTTTTTTTATAGTAATTACTTTAAATAATTATTTTTTTAAATACTTTATAATAATATTATTATCTTTATAATGTTATTATTAGTAATTTATAATAGTATTAGCAATATATAACCCTTCAAGCCAAGGTGGGAGTTAATATTTACTAAACATTGGTCTTTCAATTGATTTTTATTCGCTAAATACGATAAATTTGTAACTGTAAGGCGATTTTGATATGCAAGACTCGGAAAAATGTTTATCAGAATTTTTGAATAATTACAATGTAATGAATATTGTTAATGTTAACACTTGTTTCAAAAACACAAACAATCCAAGCTGTATGGACTTGATCATCACGAATAGTCCGACTTATTTTCATAGTACTGTAGCATTTTCTATTGGATTTATCGGATTTTCATAAAATTGTCTTAACAGTTTTATAATGTTTTTTTACACAAAAAAAAAAACTAAAAGAAATAATATATAGAAATTAAAACCAATTCAATAGTTTCCTTTTTGAACAAGAACTCGAAAGTGAGTTAAAATGCAACCAGTATTTAAGCTATAAAAATTTTGAACAGTCTTCAAATTATAAATAAACATGCTCCGATAAAATCAAAATTTCTTCGAGCAAATCAAGTACCTACATAACTGTAACTCTTCGAAAACCAATAATGCTAAACTTAATGCTTATGGTTTTGACTTAAATACTTTGAAACTTTTTAAAATCTAGATGATCAATACCAAAAATATTGGTTTAAAAGTATTACAAGATGTCTCACAAGGTGTTAGGATCCCTACTTTTTAATATATATATATATATATATATATATATATATATATATATATATGTATATATATATATATATATTATATATATATATATATATATATATATATATATATATATATATATATATATATATATATATATATATATATATATATATATATATATATATATATATATATATATATATATATATATATATATATTAATGATATGTTCTTTCTAAGGAAAACTCCGAAGTTTGTAATTTTGCATATGACACTAGACCTTATGTTAAAGATAAAGACGTGCATGTTCTATTCAACAAACTTGAGAACAATACTAAGTTGATGGTAAAGTGGTCCAAATGTAGCTGTCTAAAACTTAATTCTTAAAAGTGTCATTAAATAGTTGCGGGACATAAACATGAAGTAACTTGAGTACATATTTATTGTAATCAAATTTGGGAAGAAAATGATGTTAAATTAATTGGAATAACTAGATTATAGACAATAAATAGAAAAAAAGTCTGTGCAAAAGTCTCAAGTCTGTGCAAAAGCAAACCAAAATAATTCATGTTCTGTCCTTCTTTGTGAATGTGTTGTAGTAAAGAAACAAGTGCAAGTTACATGCAAGAGCTCTTAGATTGATACACAATGATTACGAATCGGCATTTAAAATTCTTGTAAAAAAGGATAACTCTATCTCAGTTTATTAAAGAAATTTGCAATTATTAGCTTTAGAAATGTCCCAATTTTAAAAATGATCCTAACAAAAGTTCACTAAGTAACATTATATTTGTTAATAAGAAAACGCTTAATACACAAAGTAATGCTTACTTTAGTAGCATTCGAAATAAATCGGAATTGTTCGGAAAACATTCACTTCGCTATCTAGGACCATTAATTTGGAGCTTGATTCCAATTATGCGGTAGTGGTGTAGTGGTAAGAGCGCTCGCTTTGTAAGCGAGAAGTTCCGAGTTCGACTCTAACCATGTCCCTGGAAATATTGCGCTCAACTTAATTTCTCCGCGCAGCGGCCTTGCTTGTCAAGGTTCGTGTTTTGGAGTTAAAGAGTTAAGAGAGGGTTGTACCACGATTTACAACAACAACAACAACAACAACAAAAAATGAGTAGCCTCCTCGACTGTAGTGGCCCCCTCGGGCCTTGGTGAATAGCTAAAAAAAAAAAAAATTAATGGTTGAGGATTAGCATCTATGAGTTGAACTTGGGCTACCAGTGGTTCATACTTATTATTGCGTATATGTCTTTTCATTAGCATTGGTCCAGGATGACTTAACCGTGAAGGTACAGTGCACCCAGTGGCTGTTTTAGGAAGATGCTTAAACATGTTTTCATAAGGTTTCTCCACTGTTTTAGTATTTATTAAGGATTTTAAATAACGGAGAACTTCTGGTAATACTTTTTCCCAAGCTCTGATGGGTAAATTGTGTTATCTAGCAGCAATCTCAACAGACTTTACTATGGTTCCATTGTACTTTTCACCTTGTCCAATCCCTTGGGGATTGTATGCTGTAGTATGACTTATCGTCATACTTTTCTTTAGTAAGTATTGTTTTAATTCTTTCTGATGAAGGCTGAACCTCTATCGGATTGGGTATAACTTGGCAAACCAAAAACCAAGAATACCTGTGAAAAACACTTAATTATAGTATAAGATGAAATATCAGGGCTTGGGATTGAACGAGAAAATGGGAAAACGAGAATACTTATTAATTATGGTTAAAAAAATACTTATTGTTAGTTTCCGAAGGAAGAGGTCCTTTGAAATCTAAGTTCAAACGTTTCAGTGGTTGTGTCGCTTTTATCAAAAGCATAAAATCGAAATACTCCAGGATGATGGAGTGATTGGTGAAGCTGAACAAAGTTGTCAGTGTTTATTTCTGAGCAATGTATTCTAAAAAATGTGTCAGCTATAATATTTAGTTTCCCTCCCTGTAAATAATACCATAATTATAGCAAGATTCAATTTTCCATTATAAGTTTTATCATTTTTAATCTTTGATTTACGTTGCTTTTCGAAGATATAGGACAGAGGTTGCTGATCGGTAATAAGTCAAAAATGGCGTCCAGTAGGTTAGTGTTTCCAATTTCTGACTGCTTCTATTATTGCGCAAGCTTCTTTCTCAATAAAGGGATGTTTCAACTCAGAATTTTGAAATAATCTTTAAAAGAAAGTAACTTGGCGACCATTTTGATTAAGAACTACAGCTATAGCAAAGTCAGATGCATCGGTTTCTACTTCAAACGAAACATTTTTGTTCACATAATCTGTCACAGCATCTGCAATGTCTTGTTTAAGTTGATTGAAATCATTTACACACTGATAATCTAATGGGTGCTTGGTGTTTCTGGTAAGAGAAGCTATCTTGTCAGAAAAGTTTGGAATTCATTTAGAGTAGAATAAGAAAAGACCGATTATGCGCTTCATGAGTTTAGCATCTAGAGGAGAAGGCATCTCTTTCATAGGTTGAAAATGACTGGGATCTGGTTTGAGTTTTCCTTCTTCTATAAGATAACCAAGAATACAAATTTTATCTTGGGAGAAGATACATTTATCATGATTATATGTAAGATTTATATTTTCAGCTGACTTTTCCAGATTAATATCATACTATCATACTTTTCTTGGGTTTTACCCAAGAGAAGTCACATTATCTAGATAAGCAAAAGTGAAATCTGAAAGTCCTTCTTTTTCCATAAATTCGAATATAGTACGTTAAAAAAAAGCAACAACATTTTCAATTCCTTTAAGCATTTGCTTAAAATAGAACAACCATTTGCTTCAAAAGCTGTAAATTTTCTATCACTTTTGGTAATTGGAATTTGATGGGAGGCTAATTTCAAATCAAATGTACTAAATATTTTGTATTGAGCAATTTTGTTTACTAGGTCATCAATCCTCAGTAATGGATAAGCGTCTAGTTAAACATTATTTATTTAATGTTTGACTCTAGTCAATAACTTATCTTTTCTTAAAGCGTTCTTCTTTAGTTACAACTACTTGAACTCTCCAGGGAGAATTTGCATGTTCAATAATATCCTCCTTCAGCATACTTTGTACTTCCATTTCAATAAATGACTGGTCTTCCCTGCTATATCGAAGAGATTTTGAAGCTATTGGTTTACAGTTAGGCGATAAATTGCCTAATAAACTAGGTGGAAATGCGTTTTACTTCGACAAACCACAAATTAATAGTGGGGTCTTTTTCCTTCAAATTTAAGGGTTACAGCTTTGTGTTGTTTTTGAAAATCAAAACTCAGAATAGCATCCAAGCATAACTCATTTAAGATTTTAAGTTTCACTAGTTTATAATTTTTTATTGAAACATTGACAAAAATTACTCCACAAATTGTACTAGAGAAAAAAGATGAAGCCATGCATAACTTATTTTGGTTGTATCTATGAACTGTTTGGTTTAACTTTTGTACCAATCGAGGGTGAATAAAACTATCAGTGCTACCACTATCAATGAGAGCGTTTACAAATGAACCATAAACCAACATACCAATTGTGAATTTAGTCAAAGCTGAAATGGAAGCAGAAATGTTCTTTAAATTATTTTTAAGATCAGGGTAGTTTAGTCAAGTAAGTGATTGTTTGAGTTCAAAGGTTGATCAACAAGATTCATCCCTGCTGTTGTGAGTTTAGAAGATTAACATAACTTGGTAAAATGACCTCACATTTAAAACAAATTGACTCTTTAGCAGGACAGACAAATTTAGCATGTCTTTGATTCCCATAGTTCCAGCAATTTGAAACAGAGTTTGAGTTAAATTGTCTTTTTTGTTATTGCAGCTACTGTTGAATCTGATGTGTTATACTGGAGCTAATTTTCAGCACTTTTTTGTGCTAATTATAAGGTTCTAGCTTTTAAAAACATTTCATCCGGACTAGTTGTACTTTTTTCTAGTAGTCGCTGTCTGACACCTTGTGAATTTATTCCTGTTATAAATGCATCTCTAATATATTCATTGCGGTATTCAATAGCAGATACCTGTTTAAAGTTACATTCTTTTGCAAAAACTTTAAGAGCATGTAAATATTCATCAAAACTTTCTCCTGGCTGTTGCTTACGTGTTTCCAAGAGAAATCGTGCATAAAACTCATTTGATTGTTTGATTTCCACAGATTGTAAAGCTTGTAATACTGCTTCATAATATGGATACTCGCTTATTATTTCATAAACATCGGGCAGAACAAATTGAGTTAAGATTTTTAACTTATCAAGTTTTTGAGGGAGTTCATTAAGAAAATGTTCTAAGCCAATGTTTAAATAATTTTGTTGCAGAAGATTTGGTAATGTATCCAAGCAAGGTCTTAGGGTTCTATCCATATTTTGTTTTGATGGTAGTAGAAAATTGAAACACTTGTATAAAGAACAACAAAAATTTTAGTTCATATAAGTTTTTCTACTCTAAAATATACAAAATAAATAATCAAAACGCATCAACTATATCAATGTTGAAAGAGATAGCCTTTACCCTTTACCCTAACCTGGGACGGTAGTTAGACGAGTCAGATCGCTCACCAGAATTTTTATAAATAGAGATAACAAATGCTGCTTTCCAATAGACTGGGAAAAAGAATCTGGTAAGCACCAGTTAAATAGTTTTGATATATCATAACTATTTAACAATTGTTCATCAGAGTCTTTACTATAGTATAGACAACATACTTGTTATAGTCTTGTAGAAGTGTTCTTCGGAGCTGTCGTCTGTACTATAGTATAGACAACAGCTCCGGAGTATAGTGAGAAAAATGAGATAAAAGTTTTAAAGAGATCAAACCGTGATCAGAAGCACCTAAGTGTGAATGTGGAGAAACTGAGCAGTGGCGAGGATCAGAAACAAGACATAAGTTGAATAGAGAATGTTAATGATTCGGATTGTCTGGAAAACGAGTTGGAAAGTTAACTATTTGTGTTAGAGACGGAGAGAGGCAAAACTTGTGGGCCTTAACGCCTGCAGAGCCACTGACACTAGAGCCAAGCCATTCATTGTGATAATAAAATATATTACATTGAAATATTCAACCGATGTTACCTGTTATGTTGGTGGCAAGAATAAACTTTTTTTTTTAATTATTTTAGCGTTTATATTTTCGTAATATAACACGTTTTTGAATGTGTCTACTTTCTAACCCTATATTTTTGTTTTTACTTCAATTTTGTTTTAGTTATGCCTATTTAAACCGCATGACTCTTATAAGACTCTTATAAGCTCTTAACGTTTAGAATATTGACTTACAAATGTAAGTCAATATTCTAAACGTTAGATCGACGTATAGTAAACGTTTATAAAAAAATGTTTGAAATGTACATTTCAAATCAAGCGTCAATTTTTAGTCAACAATAGGTCGTTAAACGTTTTCTCCATTTTTCGACCAATATTGACTAAATATTGACCAACTTTGAACTAATCTGTGTTTACTGGGTTGCAACATTGCTCTGTTAGTACTTTGATATTTTACAGCTGCTGATGGCATCAGCTTTTCTGAGAGCTAATACAGAGTTTGCGAAACCTGACTACCAGCCAGCCTCAGAATCATTAAACTGAATTTTAAAGCTGTACTCTCATTAGGAGATATTAGAACGAGTTGCCATAGAAACAGAGATACAAACAAAATCCATGCATTTAGTCAAGAAGGTCCAGCATTTAGCATCCTAAACTGGAAACAATTTATTATAAATACATCTACGCCAGCCTAATGGATAAAGAAGAGGTGCAGGGCTGGTCAACAAATAGAATCTGTTTACCCCTTAAGTCTTTACTTAGGAGGCCTTCTACAAGACAATAGCCGGATGCATTTAACGTCTGCCCAAGATGATTGTGTTTTTATCGAGACACCATCTCTAACGTTTACTCAACCAAGAGCTTCAAGGCAGGGAGTATTTTAAGTCGGACATGCAAAAGGACATGTAGCAGGTTGCAATGGGTTACATATTACCAGTAACAGGATAACATGAACTGACACTAGGAATGAACTATAAACCACCTCACGAAAAATAAAATATAAACCACTATGTAATCATGTAAAAATGGCATTGTTTGCATTGTTTTCATAAAATTTTTAAAGTGTTTTGTTCAAAACACTTTAAATAAAACTAGGTACACCATAAAAAATTTAAGCTCAGTAGCTTTAACCAATAAAAAGTTTGCTAAGAGACCACAAATATCGTAAAAAATTTAAGTTCTAAGTCTAGCTTTATTCTACTCCAAAGTTTTTGCATTCTTTTGCAGCTGCTATATTTAATTGATATCATTTTTTTTTTTCAATTTTTTCAAAAGAACAACTCTCTTGAAAACAAACTGATATTTATTATTGCAATAAATCGATGAAGAAAAGTGCTGTCTGGCTCTTTGCTTCATTATTCTCAGTTATCTATAAACCTCGTAACTTATCTCAGAAGTTTGGCTCTATAAACCTTTGAAAAATCTTCAACAGCGTCATTAACAGGGGAAGGTTTAACATTCCATCTTTCATTTATCTAGTCACCTCTCCCAAGGACGAGACTATTTGCAAAGAACTTTCCTTCTAATTCGGCTCTTGAATCTTACGGCAATTCTCTTCGTTCCATTCCAATTAAACATGTTAACCTATTGGTACATATTCAAATCACTCCAAGCTCCGAGTTATATCTCAATTAAACTTTTCTACGGTTTGTGGTTGAAACAACATTCCTGTCATAATCTAACACAATTGTTTTTCAGAGCTCTTTTCAATTCTATCTAAATTATTTAATAAGTACTTGACTGGATCTTATTTTCCTGCCTGTAGAAAAATGGCATCTGTTGATTCAATTTTTACAAACTTCGGTGAACATTCTGACCCTTCCAATTATTGTCCGATCAGTCTTCTTTCTGTTATTAGCAAGATCTTTGAGCGATAAGAAGACTATTATGTCTTATCGCCAAGCCTCTTGATAAATTCCGTAAATATAAAGTTTAATTTAAAAAATAATTCCGTTAACAATATAAAATAAACAAACGCAAAATTGGTAACTTGATAAATAAAACATCTATTATTAAAAAATAACAAGAAGCACTATTAAGCACTATTAGTGATGTGCCGGTTACCCTGTTCGGACCCCGGGACTCGTTAATTCGGCTGTTTTTCCGGGTACCCGGAATCGGCCTTTTTTTTGAAGTACCCGGCACCAGGTGTCTTCAAAAAAGTTTTAATAAACAGACACCTTAAATACTGTAACTATATGTTTAAGTGGTACTTTAAATTGTGCTGAAATATTATTAACAGAATTGCTTTTAATTTTAACTTCAACCAATAAACTTCTTGGTATAAACTAAAAGAATTATTAAGTCAATAAACCACAAAGCTCTATTTTCTATTTTAGAATATTTTTTTATTTTATTCATACTACAGTCTGTAGTATGAGATTTTTACCCCCGCATTTTTTTTACTCCCCAGTTAAAATCTCATATTAAATTTTTACTCCCAGTAAAAATCGCATATAAAATTTTTACTCCCCAGTAAAAGTCTCATATTAAATTTTTACTCCCATTATGAGATTTTTACTCCTATGAAATATTTTGCGGCAAAATATATTTTTGCAACCAAGCCGAGTTGTATTTTGTGATTACTTTTAAACGTTTTAATTACTGCGGTTTCTATTTTAGTTTAAATATTGCAATAAAGAAGCAAGTATTTAAACTAAAATATTGAAACATTTGTAATCTATTAATCCAGTAGCACATATTTTTTTTAAATTATCAAGTGATATTAATGTCAAAACTAGACCAATTAACAAAGACGTCAAATCAAGCAACACGTACGGTCATACTCAACATGAAAGCAGTACAAATGAAAGAATAGCAAAATGTGTAACTTTTGATATAAGAAAAAAAATTGCAGAAAATTTTTTGGAATTTTTAGAAAACACAATATTGCGGTAGGAAACATTAACTTAACTCTATGTCTTAGGGGAATCCATAGAGTTAAAGGAAATGGAAGCAACTTTTTTAAAGCAGTTTCTTTTATCATAACTGGAAATGAAGATGAACATTAGCCAATTAGAAACAATGTTGTTACGATATGTGTAACAAAATACACGTTAAAATAACTGGATATTTAAGTATGGCAATTTGAACGCATATTTGTAAAACTAAAATGTTTTCAGATGATTGAGATAATTGGATGCGTTTCATTTATGGAGATAGATATCCAGTATACAGCAAATAAGGAGCAAAAACAAAATGGATGACCTAACCGTGCAGTTTACGGGTTAGTAAGTTGATTATTCTATATTTCTAGACAACTCTATTGGAGAATCCACTTTGATGATGTGTTAACAGTTGAAAATCTAGTGTATTTATTTACTTATCTCAAAGTTTCTCAAAAAAAAACTCTCAAAGTTTTCAATAAAGCATCGTGGTCCCTATTTATTTAACAAAATAATTTCTAGAAACGAATCGCTAATAAATTTAAACAACGAAAAGTCCCTAAAAACAAAGTTAAAATCTACAATAATCAAGTTAAACAACTACAAGGAGTTTTTTTAAACTCCAATTTAAATTTGAAAAATTTAAAATAATATAAAACAAAAAATGTAACTTTTCAAAGGAATCAACAAAAATAATACTAAAAGGAGATAGTAACATTAATAATTTTTAGGCATATATGTATCACATACATATTTGCCACGTATGCAACTGATTTTTATGTGTATTACACGTCTAAAAGGTACTCGATGACAAGACTGACCCCAGTCTTCTGGGAGCTTCCTATAACTACAAACAATTAATTATTTTCTTCAATCTTATACAAATCTTGTTTTTATCATACTTTTATATATATATATATAATTGAAAGAATATAGAAGTTTTATTTCTTGGATAATTTTTACGTTCACGTTATTCTATTGTGTACTTTGTATTTATTTTTATCAAGTCTCAAAGTTGAATGTAACAATATTTTAGATTTATCCTTTATTTATTTTGGACTGTTTACGATATTTATATTTGTATATCTTTATTCGCCAATCGATGATTGGTCAATTGTTAATACTTTGTAGTTGTGAAATAAACATGTTTAAAAAAAAAAAAAAAATTATCTATCTCACAAGTTTTAAATGTCGTTGTTGAATTTCAATTATTGTATTTTTTTACTTCATATTTACTCTCTCTATATATATGGACATCTACCACCATAAATGTAGTCCACCTTGTTATATTTTTGTCAGTTCCCTGAGATTTTATCAGGGAGGATGGGGGGAGGTGTCGTATCTGATTTTAAGGCCAAGAAAAACATTTTTTGCCGACTAAGATCTCAAAAAAAAAAGAAGGTTCTTATTTGGTGACATTTGCTGACTGCCAACTA